TTTTTTTAGTCATTTGCCTATATTACTTAGAGAGTGGATTTTGCCTAAATTATAGTCTTAACACTAATCGTTTTATCTAGCCACGCAGAAAAAAATTTTTTTTGTAGTTTTTTAAAGATGTGGTTGGGACGAACATTTTTGTGCTACTTGTTTTATAGTTTCGAGTCAAGGTCGAGTCTAAATCGGATTTCTAGCATGGCTGTACGGAGCATCGATTGAAAACGTGGAGGAGCTTTGTATTCGAGGGTGTAGTAGTTTTTTTATTATGTTTTTTACGCAAAGTTAGGTACCACAAACAATCATCGGACTGGGTTGAGTGATATATCATATGAAAGCCAGTTTTTGTCGTGATTTGAACGACATTAAAAAATTCCCTTAAACTTGTTTCCAGTGTCGAGAAAATAAAGCATGCGACCAGGCATTTGACATCTTACTGGGCCTAATTTAGGCCCAAAAAACTTAATTTAGAGCGAATAAAACTAAATTAAGTATTTTTAACTTTCATTTTGGAACCAAAAACTTCAAAATCTTTAAAAATTTTAGCAAAAAGTTTTGAAAAAAGTTTTGTTTTTTAAACTTTTTTAAAGTTTTGGAATTTTTCAAAGTTTGTTTAGTCATTTGCCTATGTTAGGATTAAAGTCGATAATACCTAAATTATAGTTTTACGCCAAATCATTTTATCACGCCAGACCATTTTTTGTTGTAGTTTTTTAAAGACTCTGGCTGGAACATTGTGTGCTACTTGCACAGTAACCGGCTATCCTTGATATTATCGACATCATCTGAGACCAGCTATCAATTGTTGAACTATCAAGAGTTAAATCATAACATTTTTCAGATTGTGAAAAATTGGTTTTAGTTGACGACAACAAGAAGTTTTTTTTTTTGCTGGAGGCCCAGCTTTAATTGGAGCAATCTGTTTGAAAAATTCGAGAACAATATTCGAAAAAAAATTTGAAAGTGGAATTTCATTTTTCCAAAAACACTAATCTTTTACCTACAAAACAAGGCGGAACCGCTTCTGCAGGAGGATTCCTGCAACTGTTGTCTCGATTAATTCCGCTGTTTCTTTACAAAAAATCAAAAAAATCTAAAACTGCATTTTTTCAATTGTATCATGTTTTGAATGAGGGTTGCTGCGTATGCTGTGTGTATCTCATAAAACAGTGATTTTGTTTCGTGAGTTTTTGTCCCGTTCCCTTTTTCTGAAAAGAATGTAAAGTTCTGGCAAAAATGCAACAAAGTTTGCTTGCATCTAAAATCACAAAAAAACATTTTGTGGTACCAGAGTTTCAATCCAGCGCAACGAGAAAACATAGTTTTTTTGAATTCTTTTAAATTGGGGCTCATGTTAAGAAAAAAAAGTTCATTCCAACGCAACAAACAAAACTTCGCTGTCGAAAACGTATTTACGAAAAACCTTCTTAATGAAGCCAACACATAGTTGGAAAAGAGTCAACAAACGCCAGGAAACAGAGAAAAAACAATTTTAATGAAGCCAACAGATATTTGTGAAAAGCCAACGAACTGCAGGAAACAGTATAAAGAGGATAAAATATTTAAAAAAAACCAACAAAAAGTTACAAACAGTCATCGAACGCCAGCGAACAAAAAAACCTGCTGTGTGAAAAAAAATCAGTTTTTGAAGGTCAAGTAAATGAAATGACTTGAAAAGTTTTTGAGTTTCAACATCAATTTATGATTTGAACACTATGACAAAAAAAATGTACGGTAGAAATTTTATCAATCAATTCTTTTTCTGTAGTTCAATGATTGATTTCAATAGTTTTTACCATAATTTGAGATTTTGATTGGTTACCCGAACTCCTTAAAAACAAATCAGATGCTAAGTGAGGTGAAAAACAACAATTTTTTGAATTTATAATACAAATTAGTTGAATTAAAATTGTATGCACTAAATTTTTGAAATAGAAGAACATGTAGCTGTTCAATAAAAAGTTTTATAAAAAAAATTGTGTTTTAGCTAGAAAAATATCTCCTTTGAAATCATTCTCAATGTAAGAATTAGGCATTCATCAGATTTCAAAGCTTAGTTCCTTCAAAATAAAGACTAGGAATGGTAGAGTGATGACAGTAAAGAGGAACTTATTAGTTTTTTGTTGTACAGGATCACCAGTTATTTGTTAAAAAGCTGGAGAAGATACAAAAAAGTATTGCCAGATTAACAAAATTTTTTTCAAAAATTACACGAATGGACTCAGATTGAATGATAAAAATTATTTTCAACTAAATGAAAAATCTCATAAAAGAAAAAAAGTAAAGACCAGGAAGATCGTAAAATTATTCAAAACGATTGATTTTGAACTTATCTACACAGAATTTTTCTATTAATCTGAAAAACATTGATATCAATCATATATTTGAATATTTCATTCTGGTACTTAGTGTCAAATTGGTGAAAAATTTTTTTCAAAAAGAAGGAAAACTCAATTTTCTTTGATTCATTGAAACTGGTTGAAATTTGCATTACAAACGAAAGAATCATCGGAAAAGCTTGAAAATGATTGGCTAAACTTGAAACCCTTGAAAATGTTGAAGGCTCCAGGACAAGAAAAGCTCGATTCTGATTGGTTGATATTAGAACTTTTCTAAAGTTCCACGATAAGTAAAGCTCGAATCTGATGGGTTGATATCAAATTTCTTGAAAGTTCCACTATAAGTAAAGCTCGATTCTTTCTTGGTTGATATCAAAACTTTTGAAAGATCTATGGTAAGTAAAGCTCGATTCTGAATGGTTGATATCGAAAATTTTTGAATGTTCCACGATAAATAAAGCTTGATTCTGATTGGTTGGTATGAAAACATTTAAAAGTTTCACGATAATTAAAGCTCGAATCTGATTGGTTGATATCGAATTTCTTACAAGTTCCCTGATAAATAAAGCTCGATTCTGGTTGGTTGATATCAAAACATATGATAAGTTTTTGAAAAGTAGAGCTCCATTCTGATTGATTGATTTTTATTTCAGCTGCATCCAATAGGACGAAAATCAATCTAGATAAAACATAGATAAAAAGGAATTTATTTTAATTTAGGAAACGTTTTGAAATTTTTCCGAATTTGCCTTGATTTTAATCTTTCACAAAAAACGAGGAAAATTCAAACTTGTTTTTTTTTTCATGAAAATTCAATTAGTATTGCTATTGATGATCACTTGGAAAAATTTTGTTCACTAAGCTACCTTTACTTCGACGAATTCTAGTTAAGAATACAATTGACACCAGTTCTGAGTCTAATATGAAACACTTTACATCAATTGTTCAAAAATTACAGTAATTGTTACAAATTTTTCAGTGAGACGGAAGTTTCAGCTTGTATTCAGCTGATCTGAGCATTGTTTCTGGTATTTAGAACACTAGATAACTCACATCTTAGCTCAACTTCTTGTATCTCAATTTGGGAGGCAAAAATGAAAAAAAAACTCATAATTTTAATCAAAGTTTTGTGCATTGTCTTAACATGATACCAATTGATCGACAATTTGGGTTTTTACGCTTTCCACATAATATAACCTTAGTTTTCAACGATTAGATTGGGAAAAATCACAAAATTTTAGTTCTTTAATCACCACGAAAAATTTGCCCAAACTGAGATTTTTTTCCAAATATTGCCACAGAGCTCCAAAGATGAAATTATCGAGTGTATAAGTCGATTCAAAACGCCGGTTGAGTTCGTGAATTTGAAAGATCAGTTCGATCGCTTAAAGACCAAAAAAGAGTGTAGAGGAAAGCCACATGAGAATCTAATGATTGGCTATGGCTGCTCCAAAAATAAGAAAAAGCTTTTTGGTATAATAGTGAGACTGCATAGCGCTTGAAGTTTTTTCTCAGATTTTAAAAGTTAGGGGAAAAAATAAGGCTCTTATAAATTTTACTGTCAACAAAAGTGCTCATATTCCACAAACATAGACTGTTCTCACTGTGCCTATCCAAAACCTTGACAATTGTTTTTAAAAAAATCTTTGAAACAGTCGATTTGCACAAATAAAACCAAAAGTTCTGGAAAACTTGATTTGCAGCCTTTACTTTCGAAACTTGCCAGAGTAAAAAAATCGATTTGGATTGAAACCATATGGTTCCAAGCAGAGCCTAGTTGTTTGGGTTTGTTGCCCCGAATTCGTCAAAAAAATTTTTTCTTGGTTTTCCAATTAAAACGCATCTGGTTTTAATTTTATTCTGGTTTTAAAAGCAAAATTTTGATTTTTTTGAGCTAGGATTTTAGTATATTCAATAAAAATCAGTAAGCACATATCCACAAAACCAGACTTTTTTTTGTGTCTTTCTGAGTTTTCTTAATTTTTTTTTTGATACAGTCGAATCGCGGAAATTGTACCGAAAACAAAGCGATTTTTTTCTGTGTTGCGCCGTCTCCACCATGTTCCGGAAAGTCGCGCCGTATCCATCGAAGGTCGCGAGGAAATTCTTCTTAGTCGTACCGTGTCTGCCTTGGTTTCGAAAGTCAATAAAAATTTGGTCGCGAAAGTCTCTGAACAGGGTCGCGAATGTCTGGACACAGACTTTCGCGACCCATGTCCAGAATTTCGCAACCCACGGCGCGACTCATGTCCAGACTTGGCAGACTTAAACTCTCGGCGCAACTATGCATTTTGGGTCTGAATTTCGATGCGGCGCGACCCTCAAAGTCTGGACATGAGTCTGGGACCTCGACCCGGAAGTCAAAAATAGAATTTCTTCGGGTAGCCAAATATATTAGAATATACTGGCATAGGTCGGACTTTCAGTATTTCCGCGGCGACAATTATTTGGTTCAAGCCATTACAGTGGTCATTTTACGTGGCGATCATTGTTCGTGTCAAACCATTTGTTGCTTAAACTTCGCTATCCGCTAACCAAAAAACTCTTCGGCTATCCGGAATGATGCTCTGCGGTTACAGACCGCTATAACCCTGTGAAAAAAGGAGAATATGCAAATTTTGCGTTGACGAGGAAATAGCCTCTATATAATTAAGTGTTACTTACTTGTCCAGATTCGATAACCATTTGGAGCCATTTGAAACCATAATTATTTTCGCTGTTGAATATGTTCTTGTTGAGTTGAGATGCATAATTGGTCCAAACACTGATTCTGTAAAACGGATCCCGTTGGTAGCTGAAGAACATAGCGTCCCGGAAGAGCCACATGCGTCCATGAAGATGAAACAGGCCACACTTTAGCAAATATGCAAAAGCGGACTTGCCTTTCCCAGTATCGATGGCTCCTAAAAACCTGTAAAAACAGTATTAGGAACTAAATTGGTCATAATATATCGCACCTAAGTTTCCATCCAAATGTTCATCTTAATGAGATATCATTGATTGAGATGAAAAAGTAGAATTACCGGGAAAAGTCACAAAGAAGGAATGACATATGGGTCGAGCAATGCAATAATAATTTGTCTTATTTACCATACACCAGCAACTGTGGTTATAACCATGTTGCATAAATTCAAAATTGCTCCATTAGCATAAGTTTGGTTTTCATCTACAATTGTAAAAATCAATGGCATACGCACGAAAAATAACTTAGATAAGGTTAGATCACACTCTACTTTACTTCACGCTTTTGTGTAGTATTTCATGTTTACGCTTGCGATTAGCAAGCAATATCAAACTGGAATTCATTACGAGGCCAAACTGTGCACTGGATATGCGCAAAATTTTGTGTCGGTATGTTACTGGATTCCAGAGACAAAACTTTAAACATGTTCCAAAATGTAAGTGAATTCCGCTTACAAAATTTTTGTGGATTCCGCGTACAAATGCCTGTAACGTAAGTTTTATGGACACATTTGTTTTGTTGCAAGTTTAAATCCGGATTTCACTTACAATCTGCGGATTCCACTTACAAGTTGTGGGTTCCGCCTACAGATGCAGATTCCGCAACAACTCAATGTAACTATATACATGTCTTTTTATTTGTTTGTGAATTCCACAAACTGTTCTGAATTCCGCAAAAACAATTGCGGATTCCGCAAGTTCGCCTATTTTTGGAGCGATTTTGAGTATTACAATGTTTTAAGTATTTGTTTGTGGAATCCAAAACAGCCAAGAAGATCAAAGAAAAGTAGCAATGTTGCGGAATCCGCGACACATCTGATTTTGGCCTGTTGCGGAATCCGTTTACAATGCACAGAATAAACATTTTGGCCTCGTAATGCTTAGACTATTTATCGGGTTTGTTCAATCACTTGAACCAATTGGGGTCTTGGTTCATAATGAATTCAAATTTCTAACCGTCTGGCTTTCCCAGCATCGACGTTTTTTCATCTATAAACATATGTTTCATGCTCACCTCTGGATTGCGCAGAATGCTTAAACTAGTTAAATTTTTCATGTTAACAATTTTTTTCTATCTTTTTAAATTTATTCCTCTTTTTTAAGCTTAATAGGTTGTGGCGTACATTGTATCGGCTTATTGGCCTCACCTTGCGTCTTTCGACAAGCGTAAACAGTTTTTTGTGTGCGTGTCTGTGTTTTTAGGTTGGGGGACGTAACATCTTCTTTGTCTTAATGTTTTCTATATTCCGGCTTTTTTTGGGTTTAATATGTTTTGGCCTATTCTATATCGGCTTTGTGTCCTCCTATTGTTTCTTTTAACGAGCAAATGAAGTGCTTTGTGGTTGAGGTGGACGTATTGACTTTTCAGATGTCTTAAGTCTTGTTGATTTTTTTCGGCTTAAAGGGTTTGACAAGGAATTTTCGGCTTTGTTATCGCTGGGTAGATTATCTTCCTATGCTTGTTACATAGTATATTGTCTTGTCATGTTTTGTTTCAAGCCTTATTCATTTTAAGAGACTTAATTTTTTCGACCTTTTCGCTGTTTTTTTTTTTCGTTTTTTTTTGTCTTTTATATCGCAAGTGATGCGAAGCTCAGCTTAGTGAGTTAGGACCGAAGTGTATAACTCATAGAGTAATTTCGGATAGGGTACACCGTCTGCTCGTCACGCTATCTTATTTTCGGCCGGATAGATTCGTGCAACTTCTTAGTCTAATACCGATCCTAATCTTACTCTTATACTATCTAGTCTCAGGTTGTTTAACTAGTCTCTGCTAGGCTCAATAGATCTAGGGTATACTGGTTTAATGCGGCTGCTGAAGTACTCGGGAGAGTTCAACTAATTTCTAAGTTAAATTCAAATCTCTCTGGTGCTGAAATTACAAGTAATTTCAGCACTTACAAATAAGTGGATTGTTAGTCAGATGGATCATGATTGGTTAATATTAAATACTTTACATTGGTAAAATATCTAATTTATCCAATCATAAAATGTAGTTTAGATCAGGTTCCACCCATCCGGGTTTTACAGAGTCTTTTAGAATAGTTTTTCTGCAATTCGAAGGATGGATGATGGACGTTGGTATTTGGCGAACATCATAATTCTTTTCCGTTTTCTCTTGTTAGAGAAGTTCCAGGATGCTGGAATTAGGGACATCAAACGTTGTGTCTTCTTTCGACAACGACTGTGCTTTCGCAACAAACTCAAATCTGATTTCAGAATGGTTGGCTATGTCAGGTTTTTCTGTTTCTCGTAGAGAACTTCTTTTGTGTTTGATCTTGTCTGGGAATGGCGTGGAGATTGTGCATGGAGGGGATGCCTGGTTACTCGGATCTGTACGTATACTTGAACATCGAGGTGGTCATTGGTCTAGTTCAATGAAGTCCTTTTCTGCGAAGTCAAGTCGTACTCTAAATCCTTTGAGTTGTGATTGTGAGCGGCATATCGATTGTAGTTGCCCATTCTTTCTCGAGTGTAGTGGGGTCGTTTTGTCTTTGGATGTTCGTCCTTGGTGTTGTATTCTGATCTATGTATTGCATAATGTAATTTACATTTTATAAAACTTTTATTAGTTTAATATTTTTTAATTATGATTTTAGTTAGTTGTTTCCACAAAAGCTTTTTGTTTTAGTTCAGTTATTTTGAAGAGTTACTCACCCTTGAGTAGCTCTTATTAAAAATAGGAGTGTGTGTCACAAAGCGTGGATGTAGCGCGGTGGGTTAGGCCGGCTATAGAGCATGCTCAGGACGTCCTTCCTGGTGGGTTAGGCCAGGAGTGGGAGTATGATTGCATGCGGTTTTTGTGAGGGGTCCTGTTATGTGACAACGTTTTGTGTTGGGTTTGTTGTGTTTTTTCTTATGTCTTGTTGGTTGTGTCCTTTTTTCAAAAATCAAATTGTTTGTGGTATGGGTTTGTCTTTCGACTTTTTTGTGTTTTATTATTTCTTTCTTAGACTTTATAATAGTCTTCAAAAGAATAAATTATCCAGTTTTAAACTGGGTTAATCCGGTTTGGGTACCGTTGGTTTCCTTTTCTTAGTCATGCTGTTATTCTATGATTTGTAGTGTTTAGTAAGCTGCGTTGGTTAGTGTTGTTTAGTGTATAATTCCTTTCCAACCGGGTTAAAGGAAAGTTTGAAACGTGTTATCTTGTGTTAGAGTTGTTGAGTGTGAAAGCTTGAAACTGAAATTCATTATTTTAAACAATTCTTCGTGGGCGAGCTGTGCGAGTGTGGATAGAATTTCTGTGCGAATGAATGGAAATATCAAAAGGTTAGTACTGCATTTTCGTTTTATCAATTTACTACATAGAATTTCTAATTTTACTGCTATTTATTGGGAAAAATTAAGTTACAAATTTTCATCATAATTAGATTTACTGCTTGTGGGGAAAAAATTTATAAATTAATTTACTGCATTGGTATTAAATTTATTTAATTTGTTGGTGCAAAAGATTAATAGAATTTTAAATAGTTTGAAGAAGTTTTCGATTTTTTATTTTTCTTTTGTGAATGTTTTAGATGATTGTCGGATGAAGGCTAAAATTCTAAAGAAAACATGGATAAAGAATGGTGAGTTTCTAATTCTATTTTAATTAGTTAGTAATATGTATAATTCATACTTACCTGTTAGTCGTCGGGGAAAAAACCGTGGGGGAAGATGTCGTGGATGAGATCGGAAGTTGTTAGTAGTTTAGCTAAGATGCGGATGATATTTTTAGTTTGAAGCAGTGGCCAAAGCAATTGAAGTGCTTTAATGGTGGTTAGTTCTTCAGTGCCAACTGCAAACTCATAAGGTGTGTTTTGGATTAGATTATATAATTTGTGATTGAATTTAATGTTGTGGATGAATTCTAAAATGGGGATTTCTATAGGTTGTACAAATTCGTGTGGGATAAGGAAGGGTCGGGATTCTTCGGCGTTGAAGGTCTTGGTGATGGGGCAAAAGATATACATTTGGGTTATGGGATCATAATTTCGAAGAATACCATGAAGGTTAGTATCTTTAATGCAATATGTGAAGTTAAGAAAGAATGGTGAGGTGTATTTGGAATTGATGAATTGAAAACGATGGTGTGGTTGTCTGGAGGGAGTGTGTAGGTCAAAGTGATTTTGAATGAAACGATAATATGTATATGTGTGAGTTTGTTTAGTGCGCAACATAATATCGTGTGAGCAGTGCAAATCTCTTTCATGTGGTGCAAGGAAATGAAAGGTTAGTGAAAATATTTGGAAGCGTTCTTTAAAACTTTCGTAGGCTTGTGTGTCTGTTAGTGCTTCTGAAATAATGTGGTCAAACTTGCGATCGAAGATATTTAGTGTAAATACATATGGTGTTTTAATGAAAAATTTCTCGGTGATTTGTGGGTTAGCGAAGCGATCATCGTCTAAGAATTGATCTTGGTTAGTTCTGATGATATTATGATCGTAATAATCTAGTGTATATTCATTAGCTCGGGGTGCAGTGTGTGTTTTTAGTGATTTTTTATATCCAATGTAAGTAAATTGTCTAGGTGTTAGTGGTGTAGTGAGTCGATATAGCATGTCCTTATTTCGTTCTATATCGATGTGAGTGTTAGATAAAGGTAAGCAAAGGGGATTAGTAAAATGATAATATGAGGTCCAAGAAAGAGTAGGCATTAAAACGTATTCGTCTACAAAGCTGCGTGTTTCGTTAGTGTCGTGAGGGGTGTTTAATGTATATTGTGGAAATGAGGGTAAGGTGATAGCTAAAAATTCTTTTGTGTTAGTGTGTTTTGGATGGTTGATATATTCACGGGCTGTTCCTGGTTTCGCTGGGAAAGGATGGTTGGGGAACTTTCTTTTAAAAGTGCGGTAAGCTCTCTTAGTGTTGAGTGAAGATTCAGTAGATGTGGATGATGGTGCTAATGATTCAGTATAAATTGAAGAGGGTGTAGGGGTAGGAGGGTTGGATGAATCTATTGTGGAT